CGCAACTCTGATACCATGTTAGAATCTAGCAGCAGGAATGGATGAACTAGCAGGAAGATGGGTACAAGTAGGAAACCCTAATTTGGGTTGTACCCCATATGGGCTACCCCACTACAGCCTACACAATAAGCAGCATATATGTTTGACAGGTAGAGCCCCCAGCGTGCCTTCGACACAATTTTCCCACCGCACTGATAATGCTGGACCATGCACTTCACCACACAACCCACACGTGGGGCACAATAAGGTCTGCCTTGCAGCGTACATCGGCTCTTACGATGTCAATCATGGGATTGTAACATGCTGCCTTGGGCAGGGCAACAGTGTGAATTCATGAAATCCTCCTAGGTTGTTGGCTGGTGGCCTCATTTCTTTTATGATTTGAATTGTTAATTTTTTTGTACCAGGTTACGACCCCAACACTGTAAGTAAACCGGAATTTGTATTGCGGACCAAGGGAGTAGCAGAAGCCGCGTGACTTGCAGTGATGCTGACGCTATGATGTGGCAGGGACTGACTCGCCCACCGGTCAGACGTCCCTGGAGCTGATATCGACTGCGCGATGCACATCGCTTCGTACATACCCCAGCGGGGCCACGCTGTCTCTCGAGGGAGATCAGACGTGAGAGCACATTCGAGTTATCCAGGCAGAAAGGTTTGTAAGCCTTGCGTAGGCAGTTTAGCATGCATGTGTTATTTCCGCCGTCAGACGTAGAGATAGAAGGGGACTGACTCAAAATTGGCAGATCGGGTGCCTTGCGTGTTGTGCCTGCCGTCAGCAAGGGCCAGGGCCAGCCGAGGTTGAGTCGGCTTGCATTCGTGGGCCAAGCTGGTTCCATGGCGGTACGACAGCCTCCTCCGCCATGAATATTGGTTCTAGCCGGGCAGCTGACTGACCAACAGGAAGACTGTAAATATTTCGGGAGCAGCAATGAAGAAAGTTCTGCTCGCGTGCGGCGCCGAAAATGCTTGTAGCAAGTGCATTGACGAATCAACAGGGGATGAGGCTCCACGTAGAGCTCTTGGCTACCATATATCCATCGATATGAATTCCAGCAAGGATCATCATATGGTTTGGAGTGTCGCTTGTTCCACGCAGGAAAATGCCTGCTTGCTTGAGCCTGGTGAAGGTTAGCCAAAAACAGTGGAGGGAAATACCAAATGACCGAGATTCCATTGTCCTTGCATGTGAGCTTGTTGACACGAGAGTTGACGGGGAAAACGCCACGTAGTTCCTCGAAGGATGTAAAGATTCCACAAACCTGCCTGCAACATCCACGCGTTAGCAGAATGAACAGAAGACAACTTACCGTGATGCAGCTGCAGAAGGTCTGTTGGAAGGCGACGGTTCCTGTTGCCTTGAGCAGCACACGGTAGTTTGAAAGTCCAAAACTGTGGAGATGCCAAGGCGGAGAGCGTTGTGGAGAGAACATTTTTGTGCCAAGACGGTAGTAACCGACTCGCGGCCCCCATCTCCCTCACTGAGATCAAAGCTGCTATGTCAGCGCTCTCCAGAGGCAAAACCCCTGGGCATGACGGCCTTGCCGGTGAATTCTACAGGACCCACTGCAACACTCTACTCCCTGCCCTTCACTCCCTTTTCTCGGCCATCGAAACCAATCAAACAATGCCACCGTCTATGCTAATGGGTCGCACGGTCCTCATTCCCAAGAAAACAGATTCTGCGTTTGTGGAAAATCTCCGGCCTATCACACTGATGACATTAGAATACAAGATCTTAGCAATCTGCCTAGCAAAGCGACTACAACTTACCCTTCGCCGCCTTATTCACCCTGCGCAATCTGCGTTCATCAAAGGACGTCGCATCGGTGACACCATCAACGACTCGCTTGATCTCATGGAATGGGCGGCGGCCAAAAAGCTCCCCCTCCTCATGCTCACTGTGGATATCAAAAAGGCATATGACCTGGTGGATCGCGAATTCATGTATTAATGCCTCGCCCACCTTGGAATTCCGCATGCTTTCATCACATGGGTCCGACTGCTGCATACTGGTGCACACACTCAGATTCTCGTTAATAACATGGCAGGCCGCCCCATTCCCGTCCTCTCCGGGGTACGCCAAGGCTGTCCTCTGGCCCCCCTCCTTTTCATATGTGTGATAGAAGTGCTTCACCGTCACCTTTCTGTCTACTTACCAGGTTTCACGTTCGCCCCTGCTCAACGTAGGCTGGCAGCATGCTACGCTGATGACATGACTCTCTTTCTTAACTCTGGAAGCGAGCTACAAACGGCAATGCACCAACTACAGTCCTTCGCGGAACTCTCTGGAGAGCATGCTAACTGGGCCAAATGCTCAATCCACCTCGTGAACATTCCGGCTAACGAGATAGCCCAGCCTTGCCCTATCCCTGTCCGCCAATCCAACGAGGCAGAAAGGCTACTAGGTATCTACATCCAGAATGACACACCTGGCTCCACTACCTGGGAGCACATTCTCACCAAGGTCAAAGGGACGGCTTCGCTGCTGGCCAAGCTTCATGCCACCTCCACATGTCGATCAGCCCTTTCTTCTGAGCGCCTAGTGTCCCTGTTCGGCTATGGAGGCCGCTTCCAACCTCCCACGGACAATGCGGACAAGAAATTAGACAAAGTTGTTGGAAACTTCTTATCCGCGTCAAAATACAAGGAGGAAGGCATGGCCATGAGATTCATTCCTGACAGAATTCTATACAACACCCGACGGGACGGAGGCATAGGCGCCATAAAACCCTCGATCTACCTCCAGGCACTCCAGGTACAGAGAGCGGCCAAGCGTTTCGGCGCCACCCCGCTAGAGGATATTGCTCGAGCATGCTCAACGCTTCCGTTTGGACTTCACTGTTTTCTGGCGCAGGAAGATATTCTCAAATTCCTACCTGAAAATACGCCTGCACGCGCCGCTGCAGAACTCAAGGCAGTGCTGGAGCTCCCATGTACCATCCACCCACCCCGTCTTGAGCCTTGGGTCCTGATGGCGGAACCAATTGCATTCAACAGGAGTATAAGGAGGAAGGACGGCCTATCCTTCGGACGCACCAAAGGTGATAAATTCCTACTCACTAACGAAATACGAGTAGGCGCTATACTGCAACGGACTTCCTATGGAGCGCGGGAACTTACCGAGGACGAAATTCTTGCATGCTACCCCACCGAGGAGTATCCCGGTTGTCGCAACCTCTTCAAGGCCATATACAAGGCAATCCCAAAGGAGTGGTGGTCTGTCCTACGCAACTTCTTACCCCCTAGCTCTTACCTGGCAGTAGAAGACTGGGTAATCCCAGCACGACGATCCTCCCAGTGCGGATCATATGTTCTGCAGGTACGGGAGCTCCTCTCCAACGGCACGGCGCGGCTCAGCAGATTCGAGATTGACGACCGCCGACATGTAGCAGCTGCCTCATCTGGAACTTGCTTCCTACCGATTACTGAGGTCATTACAGTTCACGTCACCAACGGCTGATATGCGGGGACTTTCTGCTCAGGAGCAGGTCTGGGTAGCCGACTCGAGTTTCTGCAGCATGCTACGTCACTTGCAAGCATACGACGTCTAAGCTACTCTGCCCTGCCACTCAACCATCTTGACAGATGGAACGAGATACTCCCCATGCCACTCACCGCCTTACCGTCACTAAAGCAGCCGTTCTTAAAAGAGCAACCGAGTCGGCAACGCGATGTTCTGCTACGACTCTACACTCTGTCACTCTCATGCGGTGCACGGTTTCGTTTCACGTCATCTGGGAGCACCTGCCCTCGCTGCTCTGACAATCGCATCGAGACGATCACACACATCTTCGCAGAGTGCGGGAATGCGCCTAGTATCACCACGGCTCTACAACGCGTCGCCAAAGACCACCTCGGGGTAACAATCCCGGCGGAACTGTCCCTTTTTTCCAATCAATACACCGGCGGGAAGCTGCGCACCGTGGAGCTTGTTGGTTGGAGCAACGGCGAAAGTGCTATGGAATGAGAGGTGCAATGAAATCTACGACAACGCTCGCTCATCCGCGGTGTCCTCACTCCATACCATCCTTGCTACTTTCCTCATGGCGAGCAAAATCTTCTTCCTCCGGCGAAACAAGCAGTCAATCAAGAAGCAACGAAGCACGGCCTCACGAGTTACACACGGACTTACGAAGAGACTACTCCAATTCGACGCTGAAGGAGTGCCATCCATTCACCCAGACCTAAGGCGGACTTGGCTGAGAAGGGAAAATTTTCATCCCCCGTAGGAACAGACTCCCTCTTTTGGATGGTGTTGGACTGGCGAAGTGACAGCTTCACCTGTTTGCATAGGCAAAACAGTCTAGCGTCGTAGGCGCATACCTATTAGGTATCGGGATACAGCCCGTGCACTGTTCCAACATCGTATGTATGGTTACGACCATTTAACAAAACTTCCAAAACTGCGCGATGCACATCGGGATTCGGGACGGGAGCGCCATTCGATTGATGCCACGTCTTTTTGGCGCAATCAGGTGGTCGGAGATCTGCAGCAGGTTGGCAGGCGGGCGGACATAGAGCGCCAAAAGAGCCTTGCCCGCCAGCACTGTACAGTACGCTTTCAAAATGAAGGAGCCGCGTTGACCTGGTCAACGGTCTGGTCAACGCTCTGGTGTTTGAATATGGAATGGAAAAGAACCGATTCCTCCGGCCTCGTCAATCTACTGGTCTTGCATTTTCATCCCTAGTGAGGAGCAGCCATAACAGAAAAGCAATGAGTCTGCTTGACGCTGCTAGCATCTCCCTCACACACATGGGTGGAGTTATAATAGCTTCTTGGGTACTTCCACTTGTGATTTTGGAAACTGAAGCCACACGAGCATGCCAAGCGAATAGATCCATGAGTCTTTATTTCCTCTCCGTCACGCTTGACCATTCACTTTCTCCTCTTCGCTTTCGTGCCATCGAGACGACCATCAAGGTTGGAATCCCACAGCTTGCTTAACCATCCAAGCCCGCCAAGTCCACTCGTCGATCCGTAGTCCATCTCTCTCACCATGACAACCTTTCGTCCGGTTGAAGAGTTCGTTTTCGAGTACGACATCCGCGAAGAGCTCGGAACCGGGAGATTTGGGAGCATTTGGCGATGCACCCATCGCGCAACGGGAAAAGATTTTGCGTGCAAGCGCGTTTCGGGGCAACCGGACGCGTTGCGAGCCGCAGCCAACGAGATTCGCGCTCTTACGATCATGGACGGAAGCCAGCACGTCGTTTCCTTTCACGCCGTCTTCCGTAACCCTAAATCAAACACCCTGTACATAATCTTGGATTTTGCTACAAACGGCGATCTGCAGGGCCTTGCGCACGCGAACGGCGCTTTGCCGGAGTGGGAAGCGCGACGGCTGTTCAGAGATTTGGCGCAAGGAGTGAAGGAGTGCCACGATCGCGGCGTCATGCACCGCGATATCAAACCAGACAACGTGCTTCTCTTCTCGCGCGCGTCCGAGCCGGACGATCCCGCTGCATCCTCGCTACAAGAAGCTCCGAAACCGCGTCCCAACCCTCACTCGTTCTCGTCTAATACATCCTGCGGGTCATCCCAAACATATGCGATGATTGACCTGAACCAGGACGACTTTTCTGATCCGAACAGCCGTGCCTCTCCGACCGGCCCTCTTTCTCCAAACGTTCCTCCTTCGCCGAGGCGACCTGGCCAGGACCGATTCGTTGTGCCCCAAGCAGACGGCGCGCGGGAAGGGGAAACAGAAGCAGAGATCATTGCGAAGCTCGCGGATTTCGGGAGTTCTGTCGTCGTGAAGCCGTGGCAACGCACTCAGGGTTTCGTGGGGAGTCTTCCGTACGCCGCACCAGAGGTTTTGGCGGGGAAGAATTATTCGTTTTCGGCCGACGTGTGGAGTCTTGGCGCGACGCTCTTTGCGATCCTCTCCTGCCGCTGGCCCACGGTGATCAACGGTCGACATTCGTCCAAGGACTGGGAAATGTCTTGTTGGATCTCCGTCTCTCACCGGGCGAAGAATCTCATCGGTCGGATGCTGTCCGCGGACGCAAATCGACGGCCGACGATCGACGAAGTATTGGCGGATCCATGGCTTTGCAGCTGTTCTGCTCAGCGTCTGTCGTTTCGTGAGGAAGCACGGCTTGCTGCCATGGCCCTAGGAGTATTTGCTAGCTCTGGAAGAGGTGACAACAATTCCTCCGACTCTCGAGCAGGAGCTTCGACCGCATCTGTGGGGGCTGGGCGGGAGATGGTCCCCATTTCACAGCCCCGCGCAACACTGGCATCCCGACTTCTCCCTCAGCGATGGTTGCGAATGCACGATTTTCAGTGACGGTCGTCACGTCGATCGTAACAATTCGCAAAGCTAGCCTTTCTTTTTCTAATTTGTAATCAACAGGTGTGAAGATGAAATAAGAGAAGTCGTGCTGTTTTTTTAAATTTTGATTGTTGTTGATGCTTATGCCTCAGTTCGCTATATCGATTCGAGGAAAGGCTCCATTCGCCGCCGCGAGGGGCGTGCGTGCCACCCTTTCACACCTCGTTCAAGCCTAGGCACAGAAAGGAACCAGATGCTTTACTTGGCAATGCTCTAGCTATTGCCCTTAGTTCCTAATTAGCTGGAACGGCAGGTCTTTCCGAGTTTGAAGATCTCTAGTTGTGTACGCTCATGGCCTGTGTCGTGACCTCGCCGCTTCTCCTTCAGTGATCCGCGTGACTAGAGTGATTAGAGTGATCCGCGCGACTAGAGTGATTTGAGTGATCCGCGCGTCTCGCGGCGCTTGTCTCTCCGACCGTTGCTGATCGTGATCGACGACGACGAGGCGCGCTGATTTTCAGTCATGCATCGACGAAAGCCCGTCGCTTCGCTCGTTTCGCACGCGATCGCCGCCGCTTCGCGCCGCAATAATCAGCGCGGCTGTTCCGGAGGTTCCATTTCTCTGCTGCGAAAGCTCGTTGTTGCGTCGAATCATGCCGAGCCTGCGGGTCAGCCTCGACGAGAAGGCTCGGAACATGCGATGGGAGTCGGATCAGGGTCTAGCCTAGGAGCTGGTTCGGGGAGAGATGTGCGAGAGGAAGCTAGAGCTGGATCGGGCGCACGTTTGGCAGTTGGCTCGGACGCGGAGCCTGGATCCGGAACTGGAACAGGCTCGGAAACAGGTTGGGGACAAAGCTTGCCATCTGGTTGGGCAGCAGGCTCGGCAAGGGGGCTGGGATCTGGGGCGGGAGCATCGGTGCGAAGAGGATACGCGAGGGCAGGAGTGGCCTTTTGCTTACCTGTTTCCGCTCAAGGTCAGACGAGACGCTTCTATAGATCTATTAACGGCCTGGCCGGGAGCGCCGCCGCGGGAAACGCGGCGGGGAGCGCGGCGGGGAGTGCGGCGGCGATGGCGGGAGTGGAGGTGCGGCGGGTGCAGGCGACGACGGGGCTGTTTGGTTACGAGGAGCTGAGCGAGCCGAAGGGCTTCCATCGCATGGCCGCTAACGCCATCGCCAGGTGGGTGGGGAGTCTTTGTTTGACGTTCCTCAAACCACGTGAAAGTAGACGATTGTTGTGACGTCTCAAAAGACGGGGCTGTTTGGTTACGACGAGCTGAGCGAGCCAAAGGGCTTCTATCGCATGGCCGTCAATGCCATCGCTAGGTGGGTGCGAATCGCTTTTTAGAGGCGGTTGAAACCGCGTGAAATCAAACCGCGTGAAACGACCGCTGAGATGAGACGCCTAAAAAAGGGGGCTGTTCATTCGAATATGAGGAGCTGAGCGAGCCCAAGGGCTTCCATCGCATGGCCGCCAACGCCATTGCTTGGTGGGTGTTTCCCCCCGTGAGTTGAATTTTGAGTTGACTTGAAAGGCACCCTGTTTGGAGTCTTCCTCCCTGCCTTCTTCCCTTCTCCCTACTTAAAACACACTCTTCGTTCCTCTCGCCCCCCACCCCCTCCTTCCCGTCTCCTTTCGGTTCCCCCCTGCCTTCTCCCCTTCGTCGAATGTGCGGTGCTGTATGGTGCTGCACGGTGCGGGGCAGGACGGAGGCTCTACTGCAGGAGGTAGCAGCAGCGCCCCCATCTCTGCGCACCGTGTGCCTGCTGGACGAGATGAGCGACACTGTACGTGAATGAAAGAAAGTGTGAAAAGGTGCTGTGCATTGCATGCAGGGTATGGGATGAGACCTTGCTTTTCCTCCACCTGCCCCCTCACCCCCCCCACCCCCCACCCCCCCCCCCTCCTCCCGCCCCCGCTCCTCCTCTCCCGAATCTCAGCCACGCAGCTGTGTTGACTCCTGCATGCAGCAGAGCGCTATCAAGGCACCCCCACATCGCGCTTACCGCCTTCCCCTCCCCATCTCCCCCCTTCTCCCCTTCGCTCTTGACTCTCGACCTCGCAGCTGTGTCGAGTCATGGATGCAGCAGAGCTCTGTCAAGGCACCTTCACATCTCCCTCTCACCCCGCTGAACCCGTCTCCACCCCTCCTGAATCCCCACCGCACAGCTGTGTCGAGTCCTGGATGCTGCAGAGCTCTGCCGGAACGTGCACCCCAACAGGTAAGCAACTTTCGAGATGTCTCCAAACCCAACAGGTCAGCACAGCACACATTCTCATGCCCATAGCTCATGCTTATAACTGTCTCTCAACTTTGTGGATTCATGTGACGAGTGTAACAAAGGTTGTGGTGTATTGAGTTGCTGTGATGATTTTGATGCGTGTTACTGCATTTTGTTTTTCCTTTACACAAGTCATTGATGAATTTGGCGATGGTGTGATTATGGTGATGGTGTGATTATGGTGACTGTGTGATTATGGTGATGGTGTGATTATGGTGACTGTGTGATTATGGTGATTGTGTGATTATGGTGACTGTGTGATTATGGTGACTGTGTGACTGTGCGCAGGGAGTTCGTTGACGCAGCGAATGAGGCATTTGTGAAGCTGTCAACATATGTGCAGGTGGGTTGTCACACGTTTGAATGCTAACATGCTATGCGCGCAACCATGCCATTCCATTTTGAGAAAGCCATGCCATGCCATGTCATACGCCCCTCATTCCCGTCTCCTCCCTCCCCCCTTCCCAGGCCCTCAGCTCCAACCAGCAGCTTTACCGTCTTCTAGTCACAAAAACGCTGCTGCATAATCCCCCAACCACCTCTCTCTCCCATCTCCCCCTTGCCCCACTTCCAGGCCCTCAACTCCAACCAACAGCTCTACCGTCTGCTAGTCGCTAGTCAGATGCTGCTGCGTAATCCCCCAACCACCTCTCTCTCCCATCTCCCCTCTCCTCCCTTACTCCCCTCCCCAGGCCCTCAACTCCAATCAGCAGCTGTACCGTCTGCTAGTCGCTGCCATCCAAGCCATGCCACCCGCACCCGCCGCCTCTGCCTCCTCTCCGTCGCCCGGTCACAACTCTCGCTCACAGGGGGCTGGGGAGGCAGTCAAATGCTGCTGCATAACCCCCCAACCACCTCTCTCCCCCATCCCCCTCTCCTCCCTTACTCCCCTCCCCAGGCCCTCAACTCCAACCAGCAGCTGTACCGGCTGCTAGTCGCTGCCATCCAAGCCATGCCACCCGCACCCGCCGCCTCTGCCTCCTCTCCGTCGCCCGGTCACAACTCTCGCTCACAGGGGGCTGTGAGGGCAGCAGGAGCGGGAGGGGAGAGGGAGGAGGTGCTGAGGGAGGCTCACCGGGTGGCTCAGCTGCTGCGGCTGGACTTTGAACGAGGAGGCGTGCACCTCCCTGATGGTGAGGGCTCTAGGGTAAAAGGACTCTTGGGACGTCTCAAGCGGGGGCTGTGAGGGCAGCAGGGGTTGGGGGGTACAAGGGAGAGGGGGTGAGGTAGGCTCACCGGGTGGCTCTGCTGCTGCTGCTGCTGCTGCTGCGACTTTTGAGACGTCTCAAAAGGAGGCGTGCATCTCCCTGACGGTGAGGGCTCTAGTCAAAGGGACTGTTTGTTGCTGCATTTCAAGAACGGGGTTATGGTCGCTGGGCGGGGCAGAGAGATGTGGTACTGAGAAAGGGAGGCTGCTGCTACTGCTGGGCTTTTTATTTAAACAGAGGAGGCACTTGCAGGGGTGCTGTATTTTCACAGAGTAGGGGAGCTGCATGTGTATAGTCTACTCTGCCTCTGACTGACTGATTCTTCCCCTCTCTGATTTTCTCCTCTTATCATGCCCCCTGTCATTCCACCGAGTGCCATTTCCGTATATGTGTTTGTGTGTGGGGGTGCAGACCGCAGGGAGGAGGTGCAGCGACTGACAGGGGAGATTACTCACACTTCAATAGAGTGAGTGAGAGAGCGAAAGATTGTGAGTTGATTTTTGAGCCGACTATGAAAAGGGAGGTGCAGCGGCTGACAGGGGAGATTACCCACATTTCAATAGAGTGAGTGAGAGAGCGAAGAGAACGTGAGTGGACGAGAGGGGAAGAGCAAGAGTGGGTGGGAGAGTGGTCAAGAGGGAGCAAGAGCGAGAGCGAGGAAACAGCATTCATGCTTCTCCTTCATTGAATATTCCATTCTGAACCCAAATCCGGATACCTTAAACCTTTAACCCTGCTACTTTTACACCAATCTCCTTTCCTACTTCTCTGTCTATTGAAGTTCTTCCTTCCTTCTCTCCCCCCCTCTCCTCTTCCTCCTCTCCCTATCTCATCCACTTCCCCCCTCTCCCAACATTCACTCCCACCCAACCACTATTGGGGGGTTTTGCCGTCTTCGCCTTCCCTTTTTCCTTTCCCCCCTTTTTCCTCTCCTTTCGTCTCCTTCCCTCAGGTTCAACGCCAACATCCACTCGGACTCGGCCTCCATTGAGGTCTTTCCGCGCAGTGCCCTGCATGCGTTGCCTCCCAACGTGCATGCCATGCTGCAACCCATTCAGCGCAGCAAGGGTAGAGGAAGCACCAGTGGCAGCAGCAGCAGCAGCAGCAGCGACAGCAGCAGCAGCAGCAGCAGCAGCAGCAGCAGCAGCAGCAGCAGCAGCAGCAGCAGCAGCAGCAGCAGCAGCAGCAGCAGCAGCAGCAGCAGCAGCAGCAGCAGCAGCAGCAGCAGCAGCAGCAGCAGCAGCAGCAGCAGCAGCAGCAGCAGCAGTAGCAACAGCAGCGACAGTGGTCTATGTACAGGCAGCAGTAGCTCTAGGATCACTAGTAGCATTGATCCTCCCCACAGTAGTGCCGTGGAGAGAACAGAAGGCAGGGAGAGTGTGGATAACGGGAGCAATGGCACCAGCAGCAGCAGCAGCAGCAGCAGCAGCAGCAGCAGATCTAGCAGTAGTGGCGCGGCCAAGGAGCTAGGGTACAAGGTGTTTTCAGACCCGTTGGTCACATCGTCCGTGCTCAAATGGGTGGACGATGAGGAGGTATGTGTGATGTGCGTTGCTGGGTAGTTTTGAGGCGCCTCCAAACTAGACGAAGAGGTATGTGTGATGTGCATTGCCGTGCCGTGCCTCTTTGTAGAAATTTTGTAACCACCTGAACTGTGTTGGTGAGTACGAGGCCTGTCTGAGCTGCTGTGCAGCTTTTCCGAATTCTCAAAAACATACCATCCCATCCCACCACACCACACCACACCACACCTCACCCCTCAGGTGCGCCGGCGTGTATACATCTTAGCCAACGCCGCCCCCGGATCCAACCTGCATCAGCTGGACCGTCTCATTGACCTGCGCTCACAGCTCGCCAAGGTGTGCTCCCTCTCAAGTGTTTTTGTCTGTCATCAAATCCTTTTGACCCTCTATTGGGAAAGACAGCCAGGATCCAACCTGCATCAGCTAGACCGCCTCATTGACTTACGTTCACATCTCACCAAGGTGTGCTCCCTCACACCATCTCGTTTCTTATTGTATTGGAAAGGGCAGTCTGGGTCCAACCTCCACCAGCTAAACCGTCTCAGCTGGTGTGCACCAGCTCGCAGCTTGCCAAGGTGTGCTCCCTCCCTCCCTCCCTCCCTCCCTCCCTCCCTCCCTCCCTCCCTCCCTCCCTCCCTCCCTCCCTCCCTCCCTCCCTCCCTCCCTCCCTCCCTCCCTCCCTCCCTCCCTCCCTCCCTCCCTCCCTCCCTCCCTCCCTCCCTCCCTCCCTCCCTCCCTCCCTCCCTCCCTCCCTCCCTCCCTCCCTCCCTCCCTCTCTCCCTCCCTCCCTCCCTCCCTCCCTCCCACCATACACGCATCTCATCAGCGCGTCTCTCATGGCCACCACACCCGAAACTGCTGTTGACTCCTGTTGAGTTTTGTTGACTTGACTCATGAGTCTGCTCACTTCTAAACCCCTGCTTGTCCCCTCCTTCACTGCTCCCACGTTCCACCCCTCTTTCCATTCCACCAAGAACTAAGCTTCCCCTCGTACGCGCATCTCATCAGCGCACCCCTCATGGCGAGAACCCCTGACACCGTCAACTCATGAGGCTTTTAAATCTAGATCCCCATTCTTCCTCTCCTTCACTTCCCTTCCCTCCCCCACCCTTCCCCACCAGGAACTAAGCTTCCCATCATACGCGCATCTCATCAACGCTCCCCTCATGGCCAGAACACCCGACACCGTCGACTCTTTTCTGCACAACCTAGGCGCACAGCTCACACCCAAGGTCTTCCAGGTGGGGTGGTGCTGGTGCTGCACGTGTGGAGTCTGGTAGCATGTTCCGGATATAGAGTGCTGCTTCAATGTTGGGTGACACACCAAGCAGCACTCTTTTCTGCTCAGCCTAGGAGCACAGCTCACACCCAAAGACTTTTGAGTCGACTCAAAAGTCACCTCGACACACCAAGCAGCACTCTTTTCTGCTCAGCCTGGGCGCACACCCAAAGTCTCCAGGTGGGGTGATTCTGTTTTTGGGAGTAGCGGGTTTCGTGCTAGATACTTTGTGGCTGTTTCATCATGTGAAGAGATTACCAGATAGGCTGGTACTGTTACCTGGCAAATCACATTCCCAGAGCCCAGCTTCTTTTGTTTTGAACCTTATCTCTTTTCCTCCTCACCTTTCTCCTAACCTCAAACCGCAACCCCCACTGTTCCTCCTCTTACCCACAATCGGATGGCATGAACTTATTCTTTTCTCACAGGAGCTGCAGCAGCTGGGGGCGCTGAAGAGGCAGCACAGAGGGGAGAGGGGCGCGAGCAGAGGAGCGGGCAGCAGCAGCAGCAGTGGTGAGGGGGACTCCTTAGTGCTGCACGCGTGGGATCGGTCTTTCTACTCTGGGCTTGCTAAGGCCAGGCGCTTCCACCTCGACTCACGAGTGAGCGGTGGGGAGGGGTTGGTTGGAAGGAAGGGGTTGGATGGAGCATGGAAGGTTCTTCTGTTGCTGGTGCTGTTGCTGTTGCTTCTCAGGTGTCCCTTCCCCGCTCCCACAGACGGTTTTTGCCGCTCCCATCCGCTCCCATCATGCAACACCCACCACCAGGTGATCTCGTCCTACTTCCCGCTCCACGCGTGTGTGCGCGGCATGGCCGTGCTGGTCAAGTCTCTCTTCAACGCCCACCTAGAGCCCGTCCCCACCGCACCTGGGGAGGTCTGGGCGCCGGACGTGACCAAGTTCTCGCTCACACACGTGGACCAGGGCCCTCTGGGGTTCATTTATCTGGACCTGCACCCGCGGAGGGGCAAGTTCTCCCATGCGGCGCACTTCACGATTCGCTGTGGCCGCAGGAAGCACCTGCCGCTGGACAGCAAAGGCCACCTGCTGTCGTTCCCTTCCTCCTCCTCCTCTGCCTCCACGGGCTCTCACAGTAGCAGCAGCAGCAGCGGTGATGACTACCAACTGCCGGTGAGTTGGGCTTGGCTTTGCTTGCAGTCCCTCCGCTGCAGGCGCAGGAAGCACCTGCCTCTGGACAGCAAAGGACACCTGCTCCCGTTCCCTTCTTCTTCCTCCTCCGCGACGAGTTCCCACAGTAGCGGCAGCAGCAGCAGCAGCAGCAGCTGATGACTACCAACTGCCGGTGAGTTGGGCTTGGCTTTGCTTGCAGTCCCTCCGCTGCAGGCGCAGGAAGCACCTGCCTCTGGACAGCAAAGGACACCTGCTCCCGTTCCCTTCTTCTTCCTCCTCCGCGACGAGTTCCCACAGTAGCGGCAGCAGCAGCAGCAGCAGCAGCTGATGACTACCAACTGCCGGTGAGTTGGGCTTCGCTTTGCTTGCTGTCCCTCCGCTGCGACTGTAGGAAACACCCGCCTCTGGACTGGACAGACAAAGCACGCATGGCGAACTGCTTCCGCTCCTTCCTTTCAGCATCCTATGCGCTTTGCACTTCCCTCCCGGCATCACCCCAGCTCAGACCACTACCGCTAAACCCCCCCCCCCCCCCCACTCACTCCGCCTTTTCCCCCACACCACCTCTCCCTCCCACCAGGTCGTGGCGCTGGTGTGCAACTTCGCAGCGTCCTCCCGCTCCTCGCCCTGCCTGCTAGCGCATCACGATGTGGAGAATTTCTTCCTACCACCACTCCCCACCACTCCCCACCACTCCCCACCCCACTACCTCCCACTCCCAGGTGGTGGCGCTAGTGTGCAACTTTGCAGCGTCCTCGCGCTCCTCGCCGTGCCTGCTGGCACACCATGATGTGGAAACGCTCTTCCACGAGTTCGGTGTGCTCCCCTCTTACACCCCCTCTCCTGCTCCCCACACCACCACCACCACCACCACCACCACCACCACCACCACCACCACCACCACCACCACCACCACCACCTCCTTCCACTCTCCCTTCCCCAGGTGGTGGCGCTAGTGTGCAACTTCGCAGCGTCCTCCCGCTCCTCGCCCTGCCTGCCGGGCATCCACACGCAAGCCTATGCGTCCCATCCCACCCACTCCCAGGTGGTGGCGCTAGTGTGCAACTTTGCAGCGTCCTCGCGCTCCTCACCGTGCCTGCTGGCACACCATGATGTGGAAACGCTCTTCCACGAGTTCGGCCACGCGCTGCACTCGCTGCTCTCCCGCACCGTACGTCATGCTGTTATGTGCCATGTGCCATGCGCCATGTTGCGTGCTATGTGCAGTGTGCCATGTGCTAGTTCTTTGATGAGTAAGAGGGGACACATGAGGGACCAGCCCTGCCTGCTAGCGCATCACGATGTGGAAACGCTCTTCCATGAGTTTGGCCACGCGCTGCACTCGCTGCTCTCCCGCACCGTACGTCACGTCAACCTGCCATGTGCCATGTGCCGTGTGCCGTGTGCCGTGTGCCGTGTTGAATGGGCTATATGCAGTGTGCCATGCCATGCATGCGTCATCTGTGGGCTCGCTGCTGAGAAAGAGGGGGCCACACCAGGGATCAGGCGTGCTGCCTTTTGAGTCGACTCAAAAGCTGCCTGCTATCCGTTATGCCTGCTAGCACACCACCCGACGTGGAAAGGCTTTTCTATGAGTTTGGCCACGTGCTACTCGCACTGCTCTCCCGCACCGCATGTTTGTCCTTGCGGCGCCTCGAAGTTTGTCTCACGCTCTGTATGCCGTGCTGCTGTGGACTGGGCCTGTTTTGTTAGGAGGGCTCTTGGAGAGGCGAAAACGAAGGGAAAGGAGTTCCCTGCTGGTATGCTCCTCTCCTCGCCGCACTTAATGGTTCCCATCCCACTTCCACTGGCCCCGCACAGGCCTTCCTGCATCTATCGGGGGCAAGAGCAGCTCTCCCTTCCCCGTCCTGCTCCCTCCCGCTTGTCATTATCCCCACTTGCCTGTCCCCGTCCCCCTCCCCCTCCCCCACCCCCTCCCCCTCGTCATCTCCACCCTCCCGCTCCCCCCCACAGGCCTTCCAGCATCTATCAGGAACAAGAGCAGCACTGGACTTTGTGGAAGTGCCCTCCAACCTGCTAGAGTGAGTGCACTGCTCAGCACTGCTTGCGCAAGGCTTCGGGGTTTGTAAGGGTTTTGTAATTCTGCTGGTTGTGTACAAAAAGAGGTTTGAATGTGGGTCCACTCTGCTGCTCGCACTCTCCTCGCTCTGCTCTTTGTCGCACTCCTCCCACCGCAACTGGCCATACTCTTACCTGAAACCCCCTCTCCCCTCTCCCACTCTCCCCCTCTCTCCCTATCACCGTCACCCTCTCCCCTCCCCCCCAGGTACTTTGTGTGGGACCATCGCTTTCTAGGTCAGTTCGCAGTGCACCACTCCACAGGCGAGCCCATCCCCATCCCCTCTCTGCAATCTTCACAACTCCCATTCTCCCTGCTCTCCCACCCCCCTTCCTCTTCCCCAGGTACTTCGTGTGGGACCATCGCTTCCTGGGTCAGTTCGCAGTGCACCACTCCACAGGCGAGCCCATCCCCCGTCCTCTCCCTCTGCAATTTTCACAACTCCCGTTCTCCCTCCCACCTTCTTCCTTTCCTTGCAGGTACTTTGTGTGGGACCATCGCTTCCTGGATCAGTTCGCGGTGCACCACTCCACAGGCGAGCCCATTCCGCGCTCCCTCGTGGACTCCCTAAGGGCCTCCAAGTCCATGCTCGCTGCCTCCGACCTCCAGACACAGGTGGGCTGCGGGTAGGGTAGAGACACGACCTCAAAAGTCGACCTCAAAAGTCGACCTCAAAAGTCGACCTCAAAAGTCGACCTCAAAAGTCGACCTCAAAAGTCGCACCTGGGAAGACTAGACTCCCTAAGGGCTTCCAAGTCCATGCTCGCTGCCTCCGACCTCCAGACACAGGTGGGTTGGTTGAGCTTAGAGGCTGGACTGGTTGAGCTTCACGATATGTCACACACGGGTAGCTTTGTCCAGATCCGAGGGTTGAGTCACAAGGGGGGATGCATACACCCGATAGGTGGAGCTGGGGGAGTATAGCACTCCCGCATCTGGTGTGAGGAATTTCAGGTGATTTTTCTAGCCGAGTAAAAATCACCTCTGCGGAGTGTCGTGCACCTGTATTGGGTGCGATGCCGTATTCTGATAGTGATATCATATTTTGTGGCTCGTTTAAGTCACACCCCTGTCTGGTGTGATGCTTCTTAGAACAATCAGTGGTGGAAAGCGGTGAAGGTGGTGGTGCTGTGGTGCGGTGATATCCCTTCCTAACGTTGCAACCCCTCCATCGCCTACCCTCTCTCCAGGTAGTCTACTCCCTCATGGACCAAGCCTATTTCGGGGTAAACCCCCCGCGCCCCACATCCTCATTACTAACGCCCTCGCTATCGTCACAAGCAGCTGCTGCAGCCATGTCAGCAGGAGCAGCAGTAGCAGGTGGTGGTGGTGCTGGTGGTGGCGGCAGCAGCGGTGGGAGTGGAAGGGACACAACAGCAGTTATGGCGGAGCTGATGGGGAGATACATGGGTGTGGCACATGTGCCTGGCACGTACTGGCAGTCCCGCTTTGCACATCTCACGGCCTATGGTGCAGGTGAATAGGGTTGCTTGCGTGCCTACTTGCCTCCTTTCTTGCTCTTGCTTGCGCTGTTCACATTACCGCTGCTTCCCAGCTTTCCCTGCTTTCTTTCTGTTCCACACGCTTTGGTCATTCCTCCTTGGTCCCGTCCCCTCTCTCACCCTCCTCCCCTTTCCCCACTCCGAGTCGCCGTTTCTTACCCTTCTCCCTCTTATTACTTGGTTCTTTCTTTGTCCACCAATCCCTCTGTCTTGCTTTCGCCTCGCTCTCGCTCTTTTTGTTCCAAATGCAGGTTACTACACCTACATTTATGCCAAATGTTTCGCAGCGCAGCTTTGGAGGCGCCTCTTTGAAGAAGACCCTCTCAATCCAGAGGCAGGAGAGTTGTTACGTTCGCATTTGTTACGCTACGGAGGGGCCGGGGATCCTCGTACCCTTCTAGAATCACTTTTGGGGCCCTCAGCTTTTGATTTGAGCCATGGATCAAGAGGGAATGGTGGTGGAGGTGCGGAGGCTGGAAAACTTGGGGAGAGTAAGATGGGTGTTTGCCCAAGAACAGATGAGCTTCTAGAAGATATGGAGGTGTAGCTACACATTTCTTATATTCGCATTGTATTATGCGCCATTGATATTCAAAATTACGTCGATCCCTTTCCAGCGCTCTATGTGGGGTTCCCTTATCCAACCATTAATAGCCAAGGCAAATCAAAGCCCTGATGCCTAAATTGTGATGGTAGCGATGTAACAGCGTGTTTGCTGCACCTTCCTTCTATGTAGGTATAATGTCATTAGCATCCACAGTATTTCGTAAAACAAAAAACGGGTGAGCCTTGTAGCGATTAGAAAGACGACTCGACACCCCTTACCTTTCCCGTGGTCGTCGTGCTGCCGAATCAGGACTTGATTTGGAGGTGGAGGACGTGGTTGGTCAGCCGCCTTGCTCCAATCCGTCGCACGCGAATTTCCCAAGCTGCCCTGGGCTTCAATTCCGAGTCGAAAACATCCAGCTGTGCCCTGGCCGAATGAAACGGGGAAGCGGCCCTGACGACGGCAAACGACTTCCCTTGCGACACCACGGCCTCGTGTCCTCAATTGTCGGGTGCATTTTGTCAGCATTACTGTAGATCTTTGCAGAAATATCGGGTCTGGTCAGGACTCCGGGAGAAATTCGTGGTGAGGAAACGACGGCTTGATTGAGCTGCTCACCAGATTCAGCTTGCTGCCGTGGCATCGTTCAGCGCGCCCTGGCGTAAAATGTGGGGCCAGGGGGGAAGTTGGAAATGGGCGCCAAGCGGCAGCGTGTACTGTGAACAAGTTTCTTGCAGGTTGGGTGACAACGAAATCCCGACCCGAACCGGCCCCCGAGAATGGCGTTCAAGGGGGGAAGTGAATCAATTCAGCACTGAGGCTTGGATAGGATTCTTGTTGGCTCGCCTCACTCTCCTCCCCTCGCCTCGCCTCCGTCGGTTGGTTCTCTTGTAGTGATGCACCGGACAGGCTGGCCGCGCGTGCTATTCAGAGGCTGGCTTCGCCCCTCAGGGAGCTATCAACCTCGAGCTTCAGCGCCGAAAATAGCGCTCTGGAGTTGCCTGGGACGATCAACTTATCTTATTGACGGAAGATAAAGAAGGCACGATAAGTAAAGAAGTCAATTATAGCTGACAGTTCCACTTCAGCACCTTAGCAAGTTTAATCTTCTTCCCGCATATTGCGAAAGGCCCTTTCGAACAGAAATGGCCCTCAGTTACGGGGACAGCAGGGCCGCATCGAACTTCGACCTCACGGCGCTCCTTTCTTCCAACTCCTCGGGCTTTCTCCCGGCAGAGATTCTGCAGAACAATTTCGATTTCATGGGCAGCATCGGGCAGGGCCAGTACGGGCGCGTGTGGAAGTGCCAGTCGCAGCGCTCGGGTCGCTACTTCGCGTGCAAGCAGATTAAGAAAGCGCGGCTCACCAACGGGCGTATTCAAGCCGTGCTTCAGGAGATCGCGACGATGCAGCGCCTACGTGGCCATCAGAACGTCGTGGATCTCGACAGCGTATACGAGGACGCCACGTCAGTGTTTCTCCTAATGGAACTCCTTCCGTCCGGCGACCTTTTTCACCAGATCTCGACGCGCAGCGGTCTTCCCGAGCCTGAGGCCCGGGACGTGTTCCGAGCCGTCGCCGAAGCTGTGAGGCACTGCCATGGGAACGGCATCGTGCATCGGGATATCAAGCCCGAGAATATCCTCCTGCGCGCGCGTTCAACACCGATTGCTGACTCGAATGGTGGTTCTAACGAGCAGTGCGTGTTGGCTGGAGGCGCTTCATCATCAGCAGAAGCTCTCGAGTGCGGGTGCCTTCGGGGATTCGAATGGGACGTGAAGCTTGGAGACTTCGGCCTCGCTAAGCGCATCCCCGGTAGCGGAACTGTCAAGGGTTGTGTCGGAAGCTTCCCGTACGAAGCTCCCGAGGTTCTCGCGTCGCAAGAGTACGACTTCTCCGCGGATATGTGGAGCCTAGGCGTGCTACTATACGCGATGCTTTCGGCTAACTGGCCGGAATTTAAAGACAACAAGCGCGTCCTTGATGAGTCGAGGGACTGGACGCACCCTGTGTGGGGCCTGGTCAGCGACGCGCCGAAGCAGCTCATCCGTCGGATGATGTCGGTGGACCCGAATCAACGGCCCACGATCGACGAGGTCCTGGAGAACGAGTGGTTTTCGCAAGAGTGCGTGGACGTTCTGTGCCCATCCACGTTTACCGACAACCAACAAACGACAGAATCCGACATCCTCCCCGCCTACTCCGATTCCACCATTCCGCTCAACTTCGCTCCCGAGACATCGGCTGACCCGCAAAACGCGGCGGAAATTGCGGCGCCAGTGCTGGCGGCACAAGCAGCCGCAGCGGCGGCGGCAGCGGCGGCGACGCAACCGCATCTACTCAACGCGATGGGGGATTTCTCGGATGTCTGCTCCATGCAGGACCCGCCTCTCACGCCAGCAGGACTCGCCACTATTTCGTCTTTTTCGAGCAGCACCAGCAGTGCCAGCAACAGCAACAGCTGCTGCAGCAGCGACGAGTGCAGCTTCTGCGCGCAAGCGCGCGAATCTGGTAACGCGCAAGGCACCCCCGCCGTGCGTAGAGTTCGCACGTTGAACAAAGAAGCTTCGGTCGAGGACAGCGATGCGACCTGTGTGAACGAAAGCGTTGCACGCGCGAGTGGCGCGGGAGAGGAAGACGCGGTTGCGTCGGCGCAGGAGCAGGAAGATCGTAGCGCCGGCGAGAGGAAGCGGCGGATGAGCGGACGGTTCGCGAGCCTATCAGGATGGGCCGTGTCCAGCTTCTGGGGTCCAACAAACTCCGCGGCAGCCGTCGACGCGACGCAGCAACAGAAAGAACGTTTCAACGAGTGCTCTTTTACCCTGCCGCTGCTGCGGTTGAGGTGATATTTTACCAGGATAAACCATGCTTTTTAGGCTGGGATTTTTGCGCACCCGTGTGTTGATGCAAGCAACGGACAGCACTGCTGCTCTGCTAGTAGTGCCACCGCAATTCCCTAGGCTCAATGAGGGAATGCGCGATGTGCGAGTGCGCCATGTTTATTCTTCCATGTACAGTACAGTAAATTTTGTAATCAAATTTCTAATGAGTAACTTCTAGTCATCCATAACCTGCTGTACATGAGGAGCGTCACGCTCCTGCCAAAGGATAGTACCTGATCCTTCAAACGCAGACATCAGCATCACACATACTGTATCTTTAGCATGGAAGCATGTCTGCCTTTGAGATCTACCGTATCGCCCCGGATATAACCGCAGGCCTATGTTAAGCGCATGCGCTTTTATCTGGAGCAATGCGCTTATGGCCGATCCTCAATTATAAGCGCACCCTCTGAAAATTCGTTACTTCTTATAAGCGCACCCCTGTTATATAACAAGCTTTTTCCCGTTGGATTTTCCCACTAAATACAAACTAGCTAACAGTTTCAACTAAAACTACCAATACATTGGACTTCATTTCTAGCCTACACACCATTTTCATGATCACTCAAGCCTAAGGCCTACTCCTCGTCCGATTCAGGCTCCGTGGAGTTGTTGCCAAAGAAGCCGTCTGCTTGGACGTCGTCATCTACCTCTACCTCGTGGGACAGCTGAGCTCTCCGGTGCGCCAGCACCAGTCCGTCTTCACTTCCGTCAAGGGCATTGCTGATGCCGCAGGTGAGGAACGCCTTCTTAATCAGTTCGGCGGGCGCGGCTTTCCACGCCCGTGAAATCCACTTGAGCACCACCTCCGGAGGTGGTTTCTTGATGTTCCCTGCACCACAAACACGGGGGTGGGAAACGTGAGACCACACGCAGGCAGAGAAGCTCATAAAAAGGCCACGGGAGAACACTTTGTTAACAGAACTAGGCAAGAATGGCTGCATTGAAAGAAACAGTTGGGTACAAGTAGCTAACCCTAGTTGGGTTTGTACCCTGTATTGGCTACCCCACTACAGCCTACCTACATATAAATAACACATTACAACTTAACACACCCCCATAGGCAAAGTGGGGGAGAGCAAAGGGTCACAAGACCAGTCCAGCAAAGCAAAAACAAGCCCAGGGTGGATCACAACGTCACCACACTCCGAGCACAAACAAAGGCCACAAGGCCAGTTCACATGTAGTGCTAGATATAGAACAGGACAAGCAGCAAGACAAATATAAAGTACAGTACAAAGAATGTCAAGCAGTGAGCAAGTGAGGAAACGTGGACACAAGGCCTAAAGAAGTACAGTGCCGCTGATGATCACTAGGCGGGAGCGCCTTGGTGAAGATATCAGCAGTGTTGGCCTTCGAGTCCGAAGCTGACCGCGCTGCTGAAGCTCTCGAGCAAGAAAGTAGCGAAGAGCAATGTGCTTCGTCCTGTGCTCCAGTCTGTGCTCCTGACACAAGGCAAGAGCCGCCTTGTTGTCACCGTACAGAACTGGAGGAGAACTAGGCCGCTCTCCCAAGTCAGTCAGCAGGTAGGTGAGCCAGCGTAACTCCTGTGCAGCCATGGCTGTGGCGTAGATCTCAGCCTCACAACTAGAGCCGAGAACAGAAGAAGAGCGGGTGGACCGCCACGAGACAGAACCAGAGCCAAGGCTGAAGGTGTAACCCTGTGACGACCGCTGCGTAGCCAGGTCGTCCACCCAAGAAGCGTCCGAGTGACCAGTGAGGACAACTCTGTCGCGTCCTCCAAGCACCAGCCCCATGCCTGATGTACTGCACAAGTAACGCAGCACCCTCTTAGCAGCCTCCCAGTGCTCTCGCCTGTGTCTCCCAGGCGCAACGTAGCGAGCAAGGATGCTAAGTGGGTACGCGAGGTCAGGTCGCGTGCAAGTCATCAGGTACATGAGGCAGCCTACAAGCTCTGGGTATGGGCCACTCGGCTCTACGGACTCGTCCGAAGGTGGAGCTGAGAGCGAGTGGCTGGTAGCCAGAGGTGTGGCCTGTGGTGAGGAGAACTGGAAGCCGAAGCGCTGAAGGACCTGCTGCACCATGTGTGACTGAGTCAGGGTGATGGTGCGGCGAGCTCTGTCCCGGGTGATCTGCAAGCCAAGGTAGCTACGCAGTTCACCCAGGTCAGTGCAGGTGTGTCTCTTCTGCAGCTCCGACTTCACACGAGCGAGTGCCTCAATGTCAGCAGTAGCAAAGACCAAGTCGTCGACGTACACGAGAATGTAGAACGGCGGCAGCGACGTGTCTGTGCGCAGAAACAGCGACGGGTCAGCAGTAGACGGCGCGAACCCAAGAGCCGCAAGTGTAGTCCTCAGTGTGTCGTGCCACTCGCGTGGCGCCTGGCGGAGACCGTAGACTGGCCGGCGGAGGCTCCACTGGGTACCAGGAGGAAACGACCCAGTAAAGCCAGGTGGGCGGCGCAGCCAGATCTCCTCGTGCAGGCTGCCCTGCAGGAACGCTGTGCTGAAGTCAAGAGAGTGAAGCTCGTAGTCACGCTGAGCAGCAACGTGCAGCAGAACCCGAAGAGTGGTCATCTTCGGGGTGGGGGAGAAGGTCTGGAAGAAGTCGACCCCCTGACGCTGACTGAAGCCTCTAGCAACGTAACGAGCCTTGAAGACAGGCGGAGAACCTGGCGGCCGCTTCACCCTGAAAATCCACATGCCATCGACGATGTTCACCCCAGGAGGGGGAACCTCGTCGACGTAGGTGCCTGTGGACTTCCAGGATGCTATCTCTGCGTCCATGGCTGTCTGCCACTGAGAGGAGTAGGGACCCGAGATCGCCTCTGCGTAAGTGCGCGGAGTGGGGATGTCTAGTGCATCCAGGTCTCCCTCAGGGGCAAGCAACCAGGCCACGAGATGAGGTACAGCAGCCGCGAGAGAGTCAAAGTCCTCCTGCCTGTCCTCAAGGACGTCCGTGCCAAGAGCACACTCACCCCCGACGGACGGAGGACAGACAGACTCAGACTCAGCAACAAGACTGGCGGCGTAGTCGAGGCGACAGGCAGCAGCAAAGTCGACAAGCTCAGCGACCAGGGCAGACGCAGCAGAAGACTCAAACGACGGGTCAGTGACAACAGTGGCGAGAAGACGCGTGACAGTAGGGTGGGCAGCACGAACACTGTCAGACTCAGGGTCGGGAACGTCAGGAAGAGAAGACGCAGGAGGAGACGGTAGGGGGACACGCTGTGGACCAGTGGAAGGACGAAGTGCCATAATGTGCGTGCCAGGAACAGGAGGAGGACGCGGACGCGCGACACGACGGCTAGTGGGACCAGTGCGAGCAGCGCGAACCGGCGAGGCAGGACGAGACGCAGGCTCACGACGCTCCGTAAGCGAGTCCGGCTGCGCCTTATAAGGCACAGGAGCAGGGAGGGGGGAGCCAGGCTGAAGGGGAAGGCCAGTGGAAGACGGGAGGGAAAGAACCTGGCGAAGCACCGTGTCAGGCGGCGGCAAAGCCGACGGCGACGGAGGAGCGAAGAACAGGCGCGACGGCGGAGCTCCGCCAGCACCTCCAGCACCCGGAGCACCAGAAGCACCTGGACCAGCACCCTCCGCCGCAGCACCCCCCGAGTCGGCGACGTCAGCACCAGAGGCCCCAGCAGCGTCAGACCTCCCCTCGCCAGCACCTCCAGAACCAGCAGGACCACCGTGTCCAGAACCGTCAGCTCCAGCGTCGTCAGCTCCAGCAGCTCCAGTACCGCCAGGAAGAGCACCCCCAGACGCAGCAACCCCAGGCTCCGTAGGCTCAGTAGCAGCACCCCCAGGCTCAGTACCCTCAGGCGCAGTACCCCCAGGCTCGGCACCCCCAGACTCCGTACACGCAGGCTCAGCACCCCCAGTCGTAGCACCCCCAGGCTCAGCACCCCCAGGCGCCGAACTCCCAGGCACAGTACCCTCAGCTCCAGCACCCGCAGTCCCAGCACTCCCAGGCCCAGCACCCGCAGGCTCAGCACCCCCAGGCTCAGCACTCCCAGCAGCACCACCTGCAGCAGCACCTGAGTCACCTGTGACCTCGACAGGCTCAGCGACGGGAGGAGGGTCTACCTGAGAGACACCTGAAGGAGCAGGACCCTGAGGGGGAAGGGGGTCTACCGGAGGGGGACCAGGAGCAAGGAAAAGCGGCGGGGGAGGGAGGGGGGCAGTGCGGTAGGGGAAGAGACGGTAAAAAGGGACCGACTCGTCAAAGGTGACGTCCTGAGAGGCGAAGACCCGGCGCGAGGTGGGGTGGTAAAACTGCCAGCCCGGCGCGTCAGGGACAAAGCCAAGGAAGACACAGGGAAGCGTGCGGGAGGAGAGCTTGTCCGCGGACGTATCGCGGACAAGGGCACGAGCACCCCACACCCGGAAGCGCGACGCATCGCCAACCTCCCCCGTCCAACGCAGTGTGGGCGAGGTCTCCGGCAAGGAGACATGGGGCCAGAGGTTGAGCTGATGCGCGGCGTACCGGACAGCAAACGGCCACAGAAAATGGGGAGCCGCCGCGTGGACCAAGGAGGTACGAGCGACCTCCATGACCAGGCCAATGCGGCGCTCAGCAACCCCATTCTGCTGTGGGGAGTCCGGAAGCGTGAAGGTCTGCTCGATGCCCTCCGCCTGACAGAAGGTCCTCAAGAGGTCGGAGGAAAACTCACCACCTCTGTCAGAGTGCAGACGCAGGACAGGAAGATCCGTCCGGAAACGGCGGCGGAGCTGGAGACGAACTGTGCGGATCCAAGGGATCAGAACAGCAGGGACCTCACCCTTGGTGCGCAAGGGGAAGACCGTGGTGTAACGCGAGTAGTCGTCGACAACCAGCAAAAAGTACCGCTCACCGCCCTGGCCACGAACGCGGGCTGGGCCCCACACGTCCAGGTGGAGGGTCTGCAGAGGAGCCTCTGTCGGGGGGAACGAGGAGGAGTGAGGAGCGGCGCGCTGCCGCCCCTCGACGCAAGGAAGGCAAGGCGGCGCAGGCGAGGCAGGGAGGGGAGGGAGGGACCTGGGAAGACCAGACACAAGGCAGCGACGGTGCATGCCACGGAGGCGTGGCAAGGAGGGGTGACCCAGGCGGTGGTGCCAGAGAAGAGTCTGGTGCGA